GACACTAATAAAGTCCATGCTACCATCGACTTGATATTTAGGGAACGCAACAGTATAAATCTGATTTACATCTTGATAAACTATATCTGTAAATAGTCATGTTTCCTCTATGTTTTATCCAGTTAGTTAGGAGAGCCCCTCGACAGAAACTTGTTTCTTTTGGGTTATCCTACGAAAGCTGATTGGGTATTGTTATGTTTCTGTTATGTCTATTGCAGTGTTTATTTGTTTTCTTGTCTGTAATTTATTGTATGTAGGCTATTATCCCGAAAAATGAAATAAATGAAATGAAAAATCAGTAGAAATGGAAAAACAGGCATTCCGTTTTGCAAAAACATGTTCCAATCTTTTTGACCCGAATTCTGCCTCGTATCATTGCATTCATCAGCCAATTACATTCACAGTGAGTTCCATTTCCCTTCGGAAAAATCCACTCAATATGCCTACAAAATACTGTAGGCTGAGAAATATGAAATACGAATGTGTGAAAAAGTGGCAATAAAATTTAAACCACACATTTTACGAACAGCCTTCTGCAGCCCATCAACGCTTAGAGTAGAGGATTTTCAACATCAGCAAATGTGTTCATACAGTGTATGTGATTATCAATTGTATTTTCAAACTTCGTTTAAAGACGCTCCCTTAATTTTATCAGGTTTGTTTTTCATCGACGACACTTACACTTCATTATCGTCCTTCCATCTCTTACCAGCGAGCGATAACATCACGCGATACAGATGTGAAGCGTAGCGCTTGGGGACAGGAATGGAAGTCACGTTTCAGTCACCGTCAGCAAAGACGCCTTCCTGGCTCATGCAGGTTGGAAGATGGGTTGCTTTCCTTCTTAAATAATGCCGGTATTTGACTATCTGCGTATTTCGAGACTTTGAATAAGTTCGTATGTCCATAGCTGCACAAGAAGTTTATACAATTTTGAAAAAAGAAATCAACAACAGCAGAAGACTTCTGATTGGAGAACTACTTTCACTAAATGTCGCTTGTGTATCTATATAGTTTATGCAGGTATAAAAAGATTGACATGTAAATTGTTCCTTCAAGAAACAATATGTGCAGTGCTGATATACAGGATTTTAAACCATTTAGTTTGTTCAAGCTGCTTCGATAGTGAATATACACAATATCAACATGAATATGACTGTCAAAGTGCTTCGAGCATGTTGATATCTGGTTAGTCCCTCAGAGGGCGCAGTAGGGCTAACGTTACTCAGAGCACATGAACAAATTAAACCATAATTGCAGATAACTTTCGCGATAAGCGTAGATGTGACAGCTAGTGAAGTCATATTAACGCACAACTAGTTAAGATCGAAATCAGTGGAAATTATAAAAAGAGGTTTACTCGAGGTGTTCCACTAAAGACATTTTATTG